GTTCTCGAGTCCATTTTTTATTTTTTTATTATTTTCATTTTTGTTTATTTCTTATTTGTTTACGAGTTTAATAAAACAAATAATAAATAAGTAATAAATAAAAAATAAAAATAATGTTTTATTTTTATTTGTTTATATATATATAATTTTATTTGTTTATAAAATTAATTTAATTTCTTTATGATTTTCCAACTATTCCTTCTCCGTATACACTGCACGACGTAAGAATAATGACGTAATATAGAAGACAGATGAATGAAGAAGTCAGTGAAAGAAATGACTTCATATAAATAAAGGAAACGAGACGAAGAGGAGTGCCACGTGGTCTCGCTCTGTCGTTTTCTTTCTTTCTTTCTTTCCTTCTCTCTTCTTCCTTTGTCGTTTGTTTTGTTTTTTTTCTCCTTTCTTTTTGTTTCTTGTTTTTGTTTTAATGGGTTTGGTTGTTGTTTTTTTGTGTGTGTCTTCTATCCTTTTCCTCTATTTCTCTCTATCTCTCTCTTTCTCAATTTCTCTCTCTCTCTCTCTCTTACCCATCCTTTATAAACCTACATCTCTACCAATCAACCTCCTCTTCTTCCCCTTTTTCTTCCCCTTTCGCTTTCATCCTCATACATTTCTCCATCTAAACAGCAAAAAGAAAAAAACAAAGGTAAAAAAACAAGAGGAAAAAAGGAAAAAGAACAACCAAAGAGTAAGAGGAAAATAGAGAAAAAAAATCAAGAGAGAAATGCATGAAAAAAAGAAAAAAAAGAGGAAAAAAAAAAAAAAAAAAAAGGAAAAAAGTAAAGGGAAAAAAGCAAGAGAAAAAAAAAGAAAAAAGCAAGAGTAAAAAAAAAGAAAAACAAAGCAAGAGGAAAAATAAACAATCAACAGAAAAAAAAGGCAAGAGAGAAAAAAAGAACAAGAAAAAACAAGAAAACAAAATAAACAATCAAGAGAAAAAAAAGCCGAGAGAAGAAAAAAAAAGAACAAGAAAAAAACAACAACAACAGGAACAACCGCTCCGTCACCTGGCAACACCATATAGGCCTAAAAGGAAACGGGAAAAAGTCAACGAAAGCTCAACAATAAAAGTCGCGTCCGTAGATATGATGGTCTTCCTGCGGATCACATCAGCCTCATTACGGGAGGATTAACAGCACAGCCGCACCTGGGGTCGGGGAGGGGGTGGGGGGTACTTTAGGATGGGGGGGGGGGAGGATGAGGGGTCGGGGTGGGCTAAGGGGGTTGAGGGTTGGGTAAGGGGTTTGGTGTTGGGGGGTTAGAGGGGGTTGGGGTGGGTAAAGGGGGGTGGGGGTGGGAGGGAGAGGTGCATGGGTTAAGGGTTGAGGATCGGAGCTAAGGTTGGGGGGTGAGGGTTGCTGACTGAAGGTTGGGGTTCAGACAGAGTGAAAACTGGTTAAGGCCCCTTTCACACAAGCGCTTTTCCGTCAATATTCTGAGCTTTTTTTCTTTTCTTTTTATATTCTGAGCTTTTTTGTCTATTTTCGTTTTTTTTATCTGAGTTTCTCCGTCTGCAAATGGCCTGACCCTGTGACACGCCCAAGGCAGCAGACATGACGCCCGTGTAGACAAACGGGCGCCCTCCGAGCGAGGTCCCGGGAACAGAACCACACGAGCATGCTCATACATATGCTATTTTATAGAAATATAATTGTATATAGAGATATTCTAGAAGATTAATTCCTGTTTACATTAACTCATTCTATCTTGTTCATCAATAAAAATATTCTAGTTTTTATACTCTAGCCCGCGAGGCACAGACGGAAGCGGCCGCAGCGTCTTCGTCCGGAGGCGCTGCTCGCATGCGGCTCTTGCGGGAAGACTCAGATACGGACGAAAGCGCGAATGTTGGCGGAAAAAAGTGCTCGTGTGATCGGGCCTTTAAAGCTTGTTGCATGGGGTTGCACGTGGGGTCCAGAGGGGGAAGTCCATGTGCTTGGAGGGGGGGGGGGTGCGTGAGGCCGTTTCTAAGGCGAGTGTGTACAAGTTCGCTAATGTGTAATATCTGTCGCTCTGAAGTGATTAAGACGTTGATGCTTATCTTAGGGAAGTTATCAAAGTTTGGGGAATTGCGTGATATCCCGAGTGTAGGATTAGGATCTGTTTTAATTATTTGTTGTTGATATAATCATCACCACCCAAAAAAAAAAAAAAAAAAAAAAAAAAAAAAAAAAAAAAAAAAAAAAAAAAAAAAAAAAAAAAAAAAAAAAAAAAAAAAAAAAAAAAAAAAAAAAAAAAAAAAAAAAAAAAAAAAAAAAAAAAAAAAAAAAAAAAAAAAAAAAAAAAAAAAAAAAAAAAAAAAAAAAAAAAAAAAAAAAAAAAAAAAAAAAAAAAAAAAAAAAAAAAAAAAAAAAAAAAAAAAAAAAAAAAAAAAAAAAAAAAAAAAAAAAAAAAAAAAAAAAAAAAAAAAAAAAAAAAAAAAAAAAAAAAAAAAAAAAAAAAAAAAAAAAAAAAAAAAAAAAAAAAAAAAAAAAAAAAAAAAAAAAAAAAAAAAAAAAAAAAAAAAAAAAAAAAAAAAAAAAAAAAAAAAAAAAAAAAAAAAAAAAAAAAAAAAAAAAAAAAAAAAAAAAAAAAAAAAAAAAAAAAAAAAAAAAAAAAAAAAAAAAAAAAAAAAAAAAAAAAAAAAAAAAAAAAAAAAAAAAAAAAAAAAAAAAAAAAAAAAAAAAAAAAAAAAAAAAAAAAAAAAAAAAAAAAAAAAAAAAAAAAAAAAAAAAAAAAAAAAAAAAAAAAAAAAAAAAAAAAAAAAAAAAAAAAAAAAAAAAAAAAAAAAAAAAAAAAAAAAAAAAAAAAAAAAAAAAAAAAAAAAAAAAAAAAAAAAAAAAAAAAAAAAAAAAAAAAAAAAAAAAAAAAAAAAAAAAAAAAAAAAAAAAAAAAAAAAAAAAAAAAAAAAAAAAAAAAAAAAAAAAAAAAAAAAAAAAAAAAAAAAAAAAAAAAAAAAAAAAAAAAAAAAAAAAAAAAAAAAAAAAAAAAAAAAAAAAAAAAAAAAAAAAAAAAAAAAAAAAAAAAAAAAAAAAAAAAAAAAAAAAAAAAAAAAAAAAAAAAAAAAAAAAAAAAAAAAAAAAAAAAAAAAAAAAAAAAAAAAAAAAAAAAAAAAAAAAAAAAAAAAAAAAAAAAAAAAAAAAAAAAAAAAAAAAAAAAAAAAAAAAAAAAAAAAAAAAAAAAAAAAAAAAAAAAAAAAAAAAAAAAAAAAAAAAAAAAAAAAAAAAAAAAAAAAAAAAAAAAAAAAAAAAAAAAAAAAAAAAAAAAAAAAAAAAAAAAAAAAAAAAAAAAAAAAAAAAAAAAAAAAAAAAAAAAAAAAAAAAAAAAAAAAAAAAAAAAAAAAAAAAAAAAAAAAAAAAAAAAAAAAAAAAAAAAAAAAAAAAAAAAAAAAAAAAAAAAAAAAAAAAAAAAAAAAAAAAAAAAAAAAAAAAAAAAAAAAAAAAAAAAAAAAAAAAAAAAAAAAAAAAAAAAAAAAAAAAAAAAAAAAAAAAAAAAAAAAAAAAAAAAAAAAAAAAAAAAAAAAAAAAAAAAAAAAAAAAAAAAAAAAAAAAAAAAAAAAAAAAAAAAAAAAAAAAAAAAAAAAAAAAAAAAAAAAAAAAAAAAAAAAAAAAAAAAAAAAAAAAAAAAAAAAAAAAAAAAAAAAAAAAAAAAAAAAAAAAAAATCACATCATCCCCACCATCACATCATCACACTGTCATCACCATCACTCACCATCATTACAGTGATTCATCATCACCACCACCATCATCATTCGTCATTATCACCACCATCTTTCATCATCATCTTCACCACCACCCTCTTTCATCCTCCTCATGTTCATCACCATCATTCTTCATTGTCACCATCTTTCATCATCACCACCACCATCATAGTCAGGATCATGAAACATTTAGCCCGTTTCAGGCGAGGGTAAAGCGTCGTGTTCTGAGAACTCCGAGGATTCTTGGCGAGAAGAACAATGAGGTGGTATTAAAGGGCTTAAGAAAAGCTTATTTCCTGAATCAAGACTTTATTGGTGTTACTTTATCATCTCCCTATCATTATTGTTTATTATTATTTTTATTATCAGCTTTAAGGTTCATGAATTATTACTGTCAATTTTTATCTTCATTATCTTTAATATTCTTCATCAAATCATCATCATCATTATAAATTCATTATGATTCTTATTTTGATTTGGTTTACTTCAGTCATCGTATAAAGTCTGAAGTCTGTGGATATGTTGGCTGAGAAAGTGTTCATTCTGTGTTTATTTTGTTTGCGTTATCTTTCTGTTTATTTTCACCGATTGCAAATATAATAAATTACCAGATTACGCTCTCACATTCCGCAAAAGTACAACACAAATACCAGCGCACATCATCGGCAAAAGCACACTGACATCACAAACAACGTGTAGTGAAAGAGGATCAGCTGGTTTGTCTCCGCGAACCGCCTCCGCCGCCGCCAGTTCCTCAGCAACAGCAGGCGGCAACTGGGAGTTTGCGATGCCGAAGGTGTTCTCGACGCCCCCAACAGGCGCTTCTTAAATATTTTGAGGATCTATAACTTCATCAACAAACATCGATATGTTCAACGTCAATACACTGCAGTCATAAGATACGAGTTCATATCAAGGCTGAAGTTATGGATGAAAGTTAAGATCAACAACACATTTGATAAGCGCAATGTTATTAGCCTTTGAACGAACGCCATCTGGATGTTCACGGAATATATCACACCCGCGTGCACCAGTTTAATTATTTATTCATGTATCTATTTATTTTGCGTCGCGTGCCTACACTTGCATTCAGACACATATGCTCTCATGCTCCCACTCGCTCACTTACGGACACATGCACACCTCCAGGTTTTTTTTATGCACACGTACAAGAACTCATAAACTAAACACATTACTTGAAAAAATATATATAATTCTTATATAAAACATGTACAAGAACTAATAAACTAAACACATTACTTGAAAAAATATATATAATTCTCATATATCTATCGTGCCATAAAGATAAGAAGTTGTATGTTTATCCATTGTCCCATTGTCCATTGTGCAAAAGAGAACAGTGCCAGCAGCGAATGTGCTCTCGATCATGTACTGTTTATATGCACGAGTCACGCACACGCAGTCATGCACAGTACAGCCATGCACATTTGTCTTCATTTCAGTGCCCACACGCCGTGAACATGCATACGCATATATGCTGCACATCTGCATTTCGCTGCACGAATTCACATATTCAGTTTCGACGCCAACAAACGAAGCTGCAAACGCAACATTTGGATTTAAATATCTCGTATATTCGCACTGCACTTTGCTCGCACGCACGCTGACACGCAGGCTTTCGCTTACTTATGCACAGACACAGACTCAGACTTAGACTCAGACTTTGACTCAGACTTTGACTCAGACTTTGACTCAGACTTTGACTCAGACTTTGACTCAGACTTTGACTCAGACTTTGACTCAGACTTTGACTCAGACTTTGACTCAGACTTTGACTCAGACTTTGACTCAGACTTTGACTCAGACTTTGACTCAGACTTTGACTCAGACTTTGACTCAGACTTTGACTCAGACTTTGACTCAGACTTTGACTCAGACTTTGACTCAGACTTTGACTCAGACTTTGACTCAGACTTTGACTCAGACTTTGACTCAGACTTTGACTCAGACTTTGACTCAGACTTTGACTCAGACTTTGACTCAGACTTTGACTCAGACTCAGGCACAGACTCAGACACAGACACAGACACAGACACAGACACAGACTCAGACACAGACACAGACACAGACACAGACACAGACACAGACACAGACACAGACACAGACAGACACAGACACAGACACAGACACAGACACAGACACAGACACAGACACAGACACAGACACAGACACAGACTCAGACTCAGACTCAGACTCAGACTCAGACTCAGACTCAGACTCAGACTCAGACACAGACACAGACACAGACTCAGACTCAGACACACACCCACACGTAAACACACTAACCCAAACACCCTCACGACACGGATCTTCCCAATCAGCCGAACGCGACCGTCGGCTTCAGGCACAACGGGAGCCTCGCCTCTAACGAAAAGCAAAGCTGCTAAATGTCCGCATAAAACAGGGACCCACAAGCAGGTTAGGCGCGGGCTGGCTCCTGGCACCGCCGGAAGGGTCGTGTGTTTTGATAAACGGGGGAAGAAGAAGGGGACGAAGAAGATGGAGACGAAGAGGAAGGAGACGAAGAGGAAGGGGGCGAAGAGGAAGGGGAAGAAGAAGAAGACGGAGACGAAGAGAACGGGGAAGAATAAGAAGGGGTAGAAGAAGGGGACGAAGAGAAAGGAGAAGAAAAGGAAAGGGACGAAGAGGAAGGGAAGAAGAAGAAGGGGAAGAATAAGAAGGGGTAGAAGAAGAGGTGGGTGTTGGCGGTTATGTCGTTTTCGAGTTTTTGGGGAAGTGACGTAGTGCGAATGTGAATGAATGTGGATGTTTGAGGATTGAGGCAGCCGCATGTGGTGCTGGATAATGTCGACGGCGATGAAGACGAAGATGATGATGGTAATGAGGATGATGATGACTGAAGGGTTGAGAAAAGAAAGAAACCGCGCATTTCATCTTTCATTTTTTCCGCACTTCGTTAACCTTGAAATCTTTCTCCGAATGATTTTTTTTTTCTAAAAGCATCGTAAAATACGTCGGAAATACATCTAGTTTAGAAACCCGTCTCGTGGATCAACTGCGAAGCACGTGGGTGTTTTACGACAAATCCGCTCGAGGCGAAATTGACGGTGATATGAAATTAAAGCCGGGGTCGAGTTCCCGCATTCGGACGCGGGCGCAATGAAACCGAGATGGCTTCGACGCGAAATCACTTCCCTCGTTTCCCGCAGAGACCCCGTGATGAGGGACGCTTCCGCGCTCATTACAGGAGGACACAATTATCCGCGCCGGAAATGTACTCGAGCAATGCGAATGAGAGGGAGATGCAAGGCACAAAGAGAGGGAGAAACGAGAACACGGAAGGTAAATCGGAAGAGGCGATGCCCTCCGACCAGCTCTCCCGAGCCGCAGGACGAGGCCGCCGGGTTGTTCCTCAGGTCCGAACGGCCTCCTGACCCGCCGTGAACTCCCAAGAACGAGGCAGCCGCAGGACGGAGTACAGAGCGACTGCCGCGGCTGAGCTGCTCGGCGCAGTCCGGCGCGCCCTGGGCACCAACAGGCGCCTCATTGCAGCCCGATACTTTTTTCTTCTTTATTCATTACTTCTTTTTTGTTTTGTAAAATGCTCGTCATGGAGGGAGGGAGGGAGGGGGGGGGAGAGAGGGAGAGAGAGGGAGAGAGAGAGAGAGAGAGAGAGAGAGAGAGAGAGAGAGAGAGAGAGAGAGAGAGAGAGAGAGAGAGAGAGAGAGAGAGAGAGAGAGAGAGAGAGAGAGAGAGAGAGAATGACAAAGAAGCAGAGATCCAGATCGAATTCGCGAGAGCTCCAGCGCGCGTCTGAGCGAGCTCTTCATTAATCCGGGTCCTTCGCTCATCGCCGAATGCATATTGATATCCAGTAAACATTTATGGAATCCCGGCTGCCGCCCGACCGCGCTGTCGCCGTATCGACTCCGTGACGCGAGATTGCAAACAGGTCTCTGCCGTGTCCTGTCTGCCGTCCGCGCTGGCCACGCGGCGGCTGCATCGATTGCCTTTTCACGAGCGTGTCGCAGGTTTTGCGCTTCTCTTTATTAATCCCCGAGTGTCAGAGTTTGTTCTCTTGTCCCAGGCAGCGCGCCATCAAAAATCCGCTAACTGGTAATTGGCTTTCCGACCGGCGTCCATTCCTTCGCGGCGTTACTTCATCTATTTCCTCTTTATTTGTATAACTGTTTTTTGTTTCTCACGGGATTGATTATATTCTTTGAATAATTAATAATCTTACTTTTTTAAGTATTTATTCTAAAGAACTGTACACGCTGAAAAAATATAATGAATTACGAAATCATTATCTTTAATAAACATTTACCATTTGGTGAACAGGTCCGAGTATCTTCAAACGTGACTAATTAAAACTTTTTTTTTTTTTAAGAGTAAGTAAATGTTGGGCTGTTAATTAACGAAAAGTTAGTTTATTTTATGAATGACTGAACTTTCCCTCGAGAGCGAGTAACTAATTTTTTTTTTTTTTAGCCAACAAAAAGCGGCGAGTTGAAGGCGAAAGTTCCTTCGTCCGCCGCGGGATCTACTCGCCGCGAATTGTTAATTGAATGTCGCTGCAGCTGCCTATTTGATATCAATACCATGGTCATTCCGCTATGATGATAATTGCATTTGCCGCCTGCATTATTTATCGACATAATTACATTAGCTTTCCTCCCCTCCACCCCCGCCCCCCCCTTTTTTGCACGCACTACAGCCCTTGCGAAATGGGGTCGGGGTTTGCTCTGCGAACCTTCGGGTGAACTCGGTGGGGGGGGGGGGGGATTTGGGCCGGTTTTGTGGGTTATTTCTCCGCTGGAATTGCCTTCTTTAAATTTATGTAATTGATTGTTACCACTTTTTGGTTTAGGTTTTGTTTTCGTTTAGATGAATTCTTAATCGTGTTTAGATTTTTTTTTTCATTAACAGAACACGGTATTTCATATATAGTTTTGAAATTAAGTAAGAGTAAGTGAGAATATTTATCGCTTGTACAAGATATCAAGAGTGAAAGTATGAAACTTAGATTCTAATTAAAAGGAGAGAGAGAGAGAGAGAGAGAGAGAGAGAGAGAGAGAGAGAGAGAGAGAGAGAGAGAGAGAGAGAGAGAGAGAGAGAGAGAGAGAGAGAGAGAGAGAGAGAGAGAAGATAAAATGAGAAAGAATACCGACTGAGAGGGAGAACAAGAAAGAGACAGACACAGGCCGAAAGAGCGAGACAGACAGACAGGAGGGCCAGAAAGAGGGGCCGAGAGCGGGCGTTGACGCAGCGCCGCCACTTCGAGTTTCCTTCGTTAACAGAAGTTGGCGCAACACTTTCCCCGCCTCGTCATGACATCTAATTAGTTCGAAGACCACCTCGAGTGCATGATCAGGGGCCCGCCGGTCCTCCTCCTCCCGGGTGGGGGGGAGGGGAGGGGGGGGGAGAGGAATTAAGTGGCAGGGCAAAGCCGTCGCGGTCACTCAGCTTTAAAAGATTCGGTGTCATAATGTGTATAAACAGAAAGGACTTCTTCCCTTCTATGAAGTAATTAGGGAGCGTGTTGGTCGCTTTAAGGCATTCCCATTTATCTTTTTTTGTTTATTTGGTATTTCAAGTCCTTCCGCCGTGAAATAACTCTTGATCTTTTCTTTACATATGTTATCGCTCATAACTTCCCACCCGTTTAATTTTTTTTAAGTCTAAGATGTTTCCTCTCTCTCTTCCGCCGCCCGTGACTCTCCCCCGCCCGCCCGCCCGCGCCGGATCCCGCCCGAGAGAAGTGCTTGGGCGTAATTCCTCATTTCCACTCGTTCCTTATTCATGAAAAGGCGTTGGGAGATTCGTGAACTTTTAAGTCGCGCGGCGGCCAGAGCTCCAGATTACAAACTTCCCCGTTACTGGCGGCGACGCTTCCAGAAGTTCCGATGTTCGTGTCTCCTGACGAGCATTTCATCTCGGCTCCAGCGGCTCTCCCGCCTCTCTCCTGCCTTCCTTCCTTCATTCGTCTGCTTCTCTTTATCGTCGTTTTCTCTATCTCTCGTTCTCGTTTTCTCTCTCTCGTTACCGTTATCGTTTTCTCTCTCTTCTTCTCGTTCTCGTTTTCTCTCTCTCTCTCTCTCTCTCTTTCTCGTTTTCTCTCTCTCTCTGTCTCTTTCTCGTTCTTTTTCTCTCTCTATCCCCCAAAGATTATCCTGCATGTCCCTCTCCTTTCTCTCTTACTCTTTACAACTCACTAAGTCCTATACTAACTGAACTTTTTTTATACTAAATACTCACGGCCCCTCGAGCACGTTCGTTGTTCAAGGCCGGTCTTTCCTCAACTCACTCATTCAGTCATATTCACGCCACACGCAACGCACATATATACAGACACAGACAGACAGACGGACACACGCACTCGCTCCCCTCCCCCCGCCGCCTCCCTCTCAACCCACGCAGATCTCAAAAAAAATTCAATTCCTGTCAAGTTATTCACAACAATATCCGTCGCTGTCACCTGCCATTGACCCAAGCGAATGGACATGAATAAATGAATAAATCATTTTAGGTGTATCATTCACCATCGACCAAGCAGTCACAGCGAGTCACATAAATAACACTTCTTATCGATTGCACTCATACTGCAATGCAACCGCCCCCCCCCCCCCTCACTGGACGGCACCGCTCGCCAACACCGCTTTCGCTCAGGAATAACTTCTTACACACAGATTGGTGACGTAAACAACTCCTTATCCATATTTACTAATGATTCGTTGCAAATAACACTTTAGTTTTAAACATCGCGTGTAATAAACCTACATAATGATATATTAACAAAGCCTTCCAGTACTTGCAATGCAATTATCATGCTAAATGAACTTGCTATCTACATCTCGCGAACACCTATGCAACACTGCATACACGTCACTGTCTGCAGCACTTCACTATCATATTTATACAAACGGACAATTTACGCGCTTTCTAAACCTGTGGCTACTGGATGGATTTGACAAAAACACCTCTAACTCCAACATTTTATCACTTTAATGTCACAGTAAGCTTGTAATTAATCCTTCTCACTAACTATATTACTTCCATTCACTAGGCGTGTACACCAACCTTGTCACATATCACTCATCAATTAATCAGATGACTAAATCTGTCATAGCACTGCCCATTCGCTACGAGCAGGTCTAGTGACACAACCCCCCTGCTTCTCACTCTCACTCCAGACAGAATACCCATAACAAAACCACCTCCCCGTTCTTTTCAATCTTCCACTACGGACTTCTAATAAAGCCATTCCACCTCTACAACTCCCCCCCCCCCCCCTCCTTTCTTCATACAACCATCATCTACATCTACTCTGCTGTCCCTTCTGACGCGCTTTCTCACACATACAAACTGAAGCCGCATCTACTTACCTCTTCCAAAAGTTTTTTTTAG